ACAGCTTATAGGAATATCTTTCTAATGGCGTAACTTGCGTCGTTTTTATGTATATTGGGTGGTTATACGTTTATGCTTAGATGTATTGTATTTGTTGTATATAGTTTTTTTTTAAGTAAAAAACTATAAACTGATGAACACGAAAATATCTGTAAAATGGTTTCCTGAAAAACTTCTCTCCGGATTAAGTGAGCTAAGCTTAATTGTTTTAGATAATGCCCCTTAGCATTTCGAAATATCAAACAAAAGTTTTAAGATTCATAAAATGTAAATAAAACTAATGAATGATTTGATAAATGAATATATATGTCGATATACTAATTGCACAACATGTATTAAAATCTGAATTATTACGTTTGACGAAACAACGTGCAAATTAAATAGTAAATGCATATTAAAAAGCAAAATATAATAACAGTCGTGATATAAAAGATGCATATAATCTATATTGGAACCAAACTATAATCCGAGATATCTTTGTCACTGCATATATCTCCAAGTACAGAAGAACCTATTTAAAACTTATCAAAACAGCTAAAAAATGTACAACCAGAATCGTCTGGAAAGCTCTAAAAATGTTTGAAAATGAAACTTGGTCCATAATAAACGGTTATTAAAATAAAACTAACACATCTCAAACATTTGCTCTACCAAACCCTGAAAATATAAATGATTACTTCGTTAATGTGAGTAAAAATATAACATCAACTATTTTGCCACAACAAGATACTATTTCCTATTAAAAAAAAGGTCTCGATTTTATTATTTATAAGACCAGTTGATAAATCTAAACTGACCATAACAAGCAGTAGTATCCAAAGCAAATCTTCCTGTAGTACTGATGACCTATCCATAAAAGTTTTCTGAAATCTCCAAAAGTCCCAGTCTCACTAATTAACGATTCTTTTGGAACAGGTATATTTCCAGAGTGCCTAAAGACAGCCAGTATTATTCCTCTTTGTAAGGATCGTGAAAAATCTAATGTCTGCAACTATAGACCTGTTGCCTTACTACCGGTCCTATATAAAATTTTTGAAATACTTATAAAAGCCAAACTTTAATTAACTTAAAAAGCACTAAACAATAATTTTTATACTGCCACCGTTTTTTGTGACTATTTCAAAGCTCATAGATAAATAATATAATAGTAGAAATAGATAGGCAACTCAATGTATAAATTTCGTTCATTAGGCCCCTTGCGGCTGGGGTCAATACTAATCATCTTTTGGCGGCAAATTCGAATGAACACCCCTTACATACATACCCTTTAGCGCCTCTTGTGGGCTATTTAATTACTAATTAAAATTTATTGGAAAATAAGGATATAAGATGCACAATTTTTTCTAGATATACGTATATTTATTTGTTGTTTAAGATAAAACAGTTATAAAATAATTACATAATATTTATTACACATATTTGCAGAAGTTAAATACTATTATTTTTTGTTTTCTGACAACTTACTATCATTTTTTTTGTAATTTTTCCATGATTTGTACACAATGAACAATACAATAATTCACTATGTTTAGTTTTGTTACTAGCACAACACAAAAATTCTTTGCTACAATAGGTAACTCAAAATAAACTTTAAAAATTAAGTAACCAAATTTAAATTAAAATTACTAAGAATAAATGCAAACGAGAGTTAAAGATAATAAAATAAAATTGAAAACTTGTAAACAAACGGAAGATCTGTCATTAATTTGGATTGACAGAATTGACATTGCTTCGTTTGATTATGTTATTTGGTTTATGATTGATTAAAGTCTTCGTGAGAGAGATAGGCTGTCATTTCTCTTTATTAACTCGCTGGGGTCAAAGTGATGGGGGAATGAACCAAGTCGTTCATATAAGATTCCAGGCCATGTCCAAAGCTTTTCAATCAATCAATCAATCAATCAATCAATCAATCAATCAATAATGCCTTTTATTTCTCAATATAAAAAAAAATACAATAAAATACTTTTAGTGACATTTGTTCTCCTTGGCACATGCCATCAGGAGGGTTGGCAAACAAATATTCCCTAATTAATATACAAAGAATTATACAAAGGCTTATTCTATTTAACAAGGCCATAAGAATAAATAAAAAATAAATTATGTAAATATTCATATAAATGTTAGTAATAAACAAATGTATATATCCTACTAAGTAACACTTCGCACTTCGCACTGCTTGGCAGCCTTGGGCTGATAGTGTCAATATCATATTCTGTATCACTCCTTATTTTGATAAAAGTTTACTACTAATTTGGAAAATTAAATTCTAGATTTAGTGCTGCCTGGTGAAGTTTGATGTTGTGATTGTTTTAACTCGCTTGGATTATGTTTTCAAGGTAATGAACAACAAATTATAGAAAACAAATATTTTGAGATTCTGAATCAGCTGATTTTATTGACAACGTTTTTACCAACTTTTAATAAAACATCAATTTATACTAAACACTACGAAATTCAGCCCCTTACATATAGGCAGCACAAATTACAGATTGTTTGTTTATCTATTTTACGGTGTCCCGGATTTTATATACAAGTAATTGTAATTATTACATAGCACCTATATTTCTCAAAAGATAACTCAATGAATAATCGAGAAGTAACTGATTTTTTTACTCCCAAGCCAAACCAAAAGAGACGAAAGAGTCAAAGTTCACCACAATTAAATAATATGGAAATGGATAGTATTAGTAGGTATAAATAAGGATAAACTAAAATCAATGATTGAAGAACTTCTGAACAAAACGTTAAACCCAGTTAGCAAGAAATTGAAAAATGTATCGACTAAAGATGATGTAAACAAATTGAGTCAGGACATCCAGTCATTGAGAGTAGAGAACCATCAACTAACATTAAAAGTTCAGGTGTTAGAGGCTAAAGTATCCGGGATGTCTGATGAGTTAGAAGAGTTAAAAAGAAGGGACACAGTTAGGGGAAAAATGCTAGAAGATCAAGAAGGAAGACAAAGAAGAAATAACCTAATTTTTAGAGGTGTTCGTCATTCTGGTAGAGAGCCTTGTGCTCTAGTGATTTCAAATTTTTGTAAAAATTTTTTAAGTATTGAAGATCAAGTTATGATTAATCGAGCACACCCACTTGGGCTTCCAAAACCAAATGGACTTATAATAGCTCATGTGCCATGGGACACCGATATTTCTAAGATTCTGGGACAGATCAAGAAATTAAGAGGTACTGAAATTTACATTGACAGAGACTATACCAAAGAAGTCAGGGAGAAAAGATCGAAATTGAGAGCAATTATGAAGAAAATAAAAGAAAAGAATAATGCGCTGAAAATGAAACTGGTCTTTGACTCGTTATTGGTGGAATCCGTTAAGTACAGTTGGGACTGGAGGGATGGATTAAAGTGTGGAAAGGATAATGGTATGAATCGTTTGAAAATGGACTGGAACATCGATTTTAATTTCTTGTTTAATTCTCCAACTAATAATAGTGATCAAGCAGAAGTGATGTATCATTCCGATAACATAAATCAGGAAAACTCTAATATCCAGTCGGCGGAATCAGGGAGAGGGTTGGTGAACCCAATCTGATAGAGAGTGATGATGATATCGTGGATTTGGAACATGGAATTACTGGTAATGAGAGTTGGAACACAATAAAAATACTTATGTACAATATAGCAGGTTTAAAATCAAAACTTAATCAGATAGGATTTGTAAAATATGTAAGTGACTTTGAAATATTTATATTATGTGAAACGCATGTAGAAACTGTATTTATTGATAATGTTTTTAATAATAGATATAAGTTATATACACAGGCAGCTGTGAGATTTTCCAATTTTGGTAGAGCGAGTGGAGGTTGGTTGTGTGGTGTTAATTATAAGATACAACATAAGTTGAGGGAAGTGGATGGTCAAATGATTATAGATATAAAAGTAGGTAATGAAAAAGTAAGCATTATTCCAGTGTATCTAAGGCCAGGAGAGTACTGGGAGGAGTGTTTTGAAAATGTTGAAAGGATTTTAGTACAAAATTCACATCAGAATGTTGAAAATAGTTTAGTTGTGGGTGATTTTAATGCAAGGTTGGGGGAAGAAGGGATTCTAGGTGACGAGCTTGATGAAGATAGGGTATACAGAAGGACGAGCCTAAGTGAAAGGAGAGTTTCTAAAGATAAGTTAATTAATCATCAAAGCTTTTAAATCACGATATTTTGATAAAAAAACCAAATTTCTACGGAACTCGATGTATTTCTTTAAATTGAGGAATTGTTTCAATCTTACTTGAGGAATAGGAAACAACTAGTTCGAGCAAATGATACTAACCATCTGGCTGCGACATATACATATTATTACAAAACTAGATCTGCAATAAATTATTGGTCTTGCAGACCTTTTTCGATATAGAAGTAGTTCAATTTTTTTACTATTTTTATAGAAAATTCATCATATTTTTTAATTACTCTGTATAATAAATTACAGCTTTATATTCTTTTTATGTGGAACTAAAGATGATTTCAAATTTAAATTATTATATAGGGTGTTTTATTTTGTATTTTAGCTAACACAGCTTTACAAAATATCCTGTAACTTTTTAACTTATATTAAATGGTGAATTTTTATATTTTGTAAATAACTTTATCTTTAATTTTGTTGAATCTGCACAGAATTAGTACACTCGTCAATCACTGTGTATGTCAAAAAAGTTTAAAGTGTTACTTATAATTCCACAAGTTTTAAATCACTTTGTAATACAGCAACATTTTTGATGTATGATCTATTTAGATGAAGTCATCCTTCATTCTTGCAAGCTTATTTCCGCCCCGGGCAACAGCACAAGAAGTGGTACAATAAAATATATGTTCATTTAAAGCATTGGTGATTATATCTAATCATTACGCCATTATCAGTTTATCTTTCAGGTCAAATATGTGTACTCCAGTTTAACATATAACAGATATCATTACTATAAAAAAATAAAAAATCTACCGTGTGTAGTATTGCTTTAAAATTTAACCTAGTTTTTTTTATAAACATGGTAAAAGGTAAGCGTTTCGTGTTAAATAAGGTCTTTGAAGGATTTCCAAAAGAACATGACTTAAAAGTTGAGGAATATGAGTTGCCATCACTAAAGGATGGAGGTAAGTTGAAATAGCAATACGCAAGATAAATAATGAATTTAAATGTTGTCATAAATGATAGCAGACTGTTTGTTTGTACCAACCCGTATTCAAACGTTTAGGAACAAAAAACCGCACAAGCAAGCGGCTATTTTTCAGTTATTATGTATTTTAAGTATTTATAGGCCAGTACAATGTGCCCAAGACTGAGATGTAGTGCATTAAAGCCCTTCCCCCTTTTAAATTCAATGTCTGTTTCGTCCCTTCTAAGTGTTTTCTGTTTTAGTGTGTTTAAATTGTCCTTAATTGTTTGTATTTTAATATTTTATTTACTTGACTTTTCAATAATTTACTAATTGCCAATAGAACTTTATCAAAGTAATTTGATAACAACAAGTTGGAAAATAATTGTACACCCACACAATTTTTAAATCTATACTCTCTTTTTTAACCAGGAGGAGTAAACCAAAAAAACAGATTCACACCCAAGAAAGTTACTAGAAAACTCACCAAATACATCTTCTTTTTTTGTTGTATATCTCGGCCTTGCGGTAATCAAGTAATCAATATCGGACAACCTTACACGTCAATTCTAACCTAACTTTATGTTTGAATAATATTTTTTTAAATTCTATTCCAATATTTATTACAATTATTACAATAAAAAAGGACGTTTTTCACATTTGGTCCCATGTATATATACCTATTTAAATATCGGGTGATCCAGTTTTATAGATCTTTAGAGTCGATGGTACTTAATTTAGAGAATATTTTGATCCAGAGAGTCAATAATGCTACAGATCTAAGTATGGTTTTTCTCAGAAATTTGTCTTTTAATTTGCAAATATATCTTATATGCAACAAAGCTATGCATATGCATGTATCAAAAAGTTAGAGAGAGTTCAAAGATTTCTAAAATATTGTTCTTTTAAACTGCGTAGACCATATTCTTATTCTGGTGTGATTAATTTCTTGAATCTAGGTTTTTTTTCTTACCAGAAGAATTATTAACTTTAACTTTGATCATTATTTTTAAGCTTAATAATCCAATTTCCTCAATTGCTTCAGCCAGTTTGTTTTACCTATTCCTTCCCATTCACTGCTTTAGAATTGACTTTTTCATGTTTCATATCCCAGAATAAATTATGGTTCAAATATAGGTGTGGTCCTACTTTTCATGCATGGTAATCAGTTACCTCATTAGATAGATTTAACTTATGTATCAATATCTTAAGGATCTATTTGAAGCACTAAAATGAAAAACAATAAATTTGTTTTAATAAGTGTGTACTTGCAATTTCTTTAATGCTGGATTCTTGTTTAATTTTGACAATGAGTTTGTCCCATTTGTTATCAATAAATAAAATTTACTAAAAAATACTGGATTTCTGTGAGATAATCAACTAATTCATCTATTATGTTACATTCTAGTATAATTTTGTAGTTTTCTTGTGATGATCTACAACAGGAAGAACGAAACCAACTGTATCACAAATACAATCAAAGTAAAACACAACATTACTAATGTTCTTTTATTGTGATGAAAACAAAATGAAAATGCTTCTTAACAAGTATACACAAATTTAAAAGATAGTTGCCGTGTTTCTCATGATAACTAATGATAACTAGATATAAATATCATACATTTATAAATTTATAAACACTGTAAACTCTATTTATTATATATATATATATATATATATATATATATATATATATATATATATATATATATATATATATATATATATATATATATATCAGCTAGAAAAATATCACATTAAATACTATTATCGCATATCACCAAGTCCAAGTTATTACAAAAACAACTTAAAGAGTCAGAAATCGATTTATATAATATTCTGTGCATCATATATATTCGGAATGAATGTAAAAATAAAAATTTAATAATTTTATTAGTCTTCCAAAATCTCTCCATTTATGTGTTGGTGAGATTAATAAACAACTACACCATTTTGAATTTCTTGATTTATTTTTTCAGCAAAAACTTAATCTATTTCAGATATTTGAGCAAGAAAGTTTTGTTTTTGGTTAGCAGCCCAATGTATAAACTATTCTTTGATTAATTTCCCCTAAAAAATAACTATGGTAAGACATTCATAAATAGATTATAAATCAATCATCCTATAAACAGTAAGATAAACAATCTATAGCTATGCTATGTAATATTTGCTGCATTGAATCTGCATATGTAAAGTAAAAATATCCTTTTTTTTTCCTTTTCTTCCCTTTCCATGTACTTATATCTGTTGAACCAAAATACTTGACAACATTCCAGTAGAGTATACAAATAAAAACTTAAAATTTAATATTTAATAGTAACAATAATATACCTGATTATAAATATGAAATCTATAAAATGTTTTAGTTAATTTTACTATATAATTGTAGCTAACCCATATTTACATAACGATATTTGTACTTACTTGATTTGCTTAAAGAGTTTATATAATAGTGAACGACATATATTTTGGAAGATCTGAGCGGTTGTTAATTTCACTTACAATTTTACGTAAAGTGAGCATTTTATTCTTGAAAAAGAAGCTATGTACTATCTGTCGTATAGATGTTTTAACTCTTTCATCCTATGTTGCAAGAATATAAGGTCGACCTTTAATATTTTTAGGACATTTTATTGCTCCAGTCTGCTTATATTCTTTAATTGTTTTAAATTCTATTGTTGTAAATAGTTGAATTCGCAACACCTAAAATTAGCACATTACTTTAGTAAGTCTTGATTTTAATAAAAACTATTCTGTAAAACTAACCTGCTGCCTGTTTTATTTTTACTACCGTGGCTATTATTTTTATTCCAGAATTATCAATTTTCATGTTTGTACATGTTTATAGTACATTATTTCTCATTTGATGATAAATGATCCAAATCTACTCGGCGTTTTTAAGGTGGAAAAGAATAATTACCACTAGTACTTGGCATTAAATCCACATTGTTATCTTAACACTAATATGTCGCTAAATATTTCTGAAAAGAACTGTTTTTTATATAAATGCAAACGAAAAATCTAAATATGTAAGAAATAACACAAAAAATACAGAAAATTGTCGATATAAATTTTGAATTTTAAAATTTTACAAATGTCATTAGTGTCAGTATGTCATAATTTAGTGAAGTAACTTGCCTGCGCTTCGACCAATTACAAACAAGCATTATAACACACAATACACAATACACAATAAATAACACACATTTCAAAAATATATCTCTCGAATAAGTATAAATAACTTTTAATAACACAATGGTATATTACATCACTTTCATTTAACAAACAATCATACACATATCTCTTCTTCATTGGATCAATTCTATCTCCTCAAGAACTTCCCGTTTACTGTCAAACAACTGCAATAATAGAATTGAGTTCTCCATTCAACAATACATAGTAATTTCAACCATGTTCTACCATCCATCAATTAATAGAGTACCGGCATCATTTGTTTAACTTTGTATCGAGACCTGAGGATGCTTTGCATATTGTAGAAAGCGAAACCGGTCGTCTGATAGTTAAATTAAATTGATTGTGAGTAAGTCTTATTTATTATTTCTTTACCTATTTATAAGTAAACTCCTTGATTTTTTTATGCATGTTAAAACTATCGTGTCTTTGTTCTAGCTCTTTTATCTCTTGACATTTTTCTTGTAATCATTTCTGTTTGGATTCTTTTATCTTTCTGGTGACAGTTCTATCCAGTTCTTTATATTGTTCGGGATTATCTTTATTTTATCTTTATCTCCTGTCCATAAGGTGTAATATTGTATCTGTCATCCATTCGTTCTTCTTCTTCCGCTCGTAGTCACCAATTACTACTTTAGCACCGTTGCACATAGAGTCCCTTAAGTTGGTCCAGTCTCTTTTAATATCATCAGTATTTGTTTTTAAACATTACTATTAATGCTATTTGTAAGCTTGACTTTTATCTCGAGATTTCTTAGTTGATCTATATCTAATCTTTTGTTATTCTATTTCTGGATTAGGTTATTGACTAGGTTAGGACTGATATTATTGCGTTATGGAATCGTTTGTTAACTGTTATGAAGTCTATCTGATTTCTAACGATGTACCCAGTTATATCCTGTGGTGATCTCCAAGTGTACAATCTTCTTAATGGTAACTTAAACCAAGTATTAGCGATAATTAAGTTTTTCTCCTGGCAAAACTGTATTAGTCGATTCAACTTTTTCATCAGTACTCTCAGGTGTGGAAGCATAAACCTGAATTATATTTAAGTCTAGCAGGTGCGCACTTATCTGATTCAAAAAATCATTGTGTACCTATAAAACATGTCTTATACCTTTGTAAATAGCTCAGATAAAAGTCGTAGATTTAAAAAAGTTCTTTAATGTGTGAGTTGTAGATTAAAATGCATAAATTATTGATAAGAAGACTGACATGTTTTATACACACTTATGACAAATCCAAAGTTAAAATCGGGGAGCGCTTTCGGCATACAAAGCCATCTTCGGAGCTATGGCCAACTATAAAGTATCCTCCTAGGAGAAATCATGTGGAAGCAGAAAATTGCTGGTTCTATATTTTCTTTTCTGTTTTAAACAAAAAAAAATTTAAAAACACACAAAGGACTGATTCTACCTGCTGCTTCAATTCCAGTACAAATGGTGAAATTCTGAGACCCATACCACTACCAAATTTTTTATTAGGTTTTTGTGAAGTCCAAGTGTATATTCAAGTGTATGTCCAAGTGTAATTGATTAACGTTGAAAATAAATTTTAACAAAATATATTCACTAGTTTTTAAAAATGTTGCGATACACTGGGAAGTAAAATAGGGAAGCGGAACAGGCTACTAAATCGCATTCACTTCACTGTGAAATGATCTAGTGGTCGATGGTTTATGTGCTGGTCTTGGCCAAAGAACAATGCTAACATGTAGTACTTATATAAAAATTTGAAATGCATCTGGTACTTAGCCTACAATACACTGGAGTGTCGGATCGTCATAAGTATGAGCAGTATAGCAAGTTACGAGGCTTTGCGGATCAGTGTTACTTCTTCAAAAATCCTCAACGGAAGTTCATTGTTAGTATAACTGAGTGTACCTTATGACAAGCCAATGTAAACTTATATTATTTAACTAATTAATTTAATAATTGCAAAATAGTGATATGTTTTTTACACACCTATGACGTAACTTACGTATTTAATTCCTAGATCAGTCCTTTCCGCTTACAAAGACGTCTTCAGAGCTTTGCTACAATATCCAATTTTTAACAAAGGAGAACAAATTTTATCATCACAGTTTAAAAATTAGAGGAATCGGACATACTGATTAGAACTAAAACGTAGAGTTTATGACAAATGTATCTTGCCTGTAACTACATATGGACTGGAGACCATGGCCTTCACAAAAAAAACCTTAGAGCAGCTCAGTACAACCCAAAGAGTAATGGAGAGGGCCATGCTAGGGATTAGTTTGAGAGACAAACTTCGAAATAACGTCATTCGTGAAAGAACAAAAATTACTGATGTCTCAGAACGTATTGCGATATTCGTATGAGGATACGAAAAGCGAAACAAGCTTTCAGCATGCTCAACCCTGTTTGGAGGTCTGGAGACTACACTACGAGGACAAAAATCCGCATATTCCAGTCAAATGTCATGTCTGTACTACTTTACGGATGTGAAACCTGGAAAGCGACAAAAACCCTTACAGACAAACTGCAGGTCTTTATTAATAAATGTCTACGAAGAATTGTTCCTAACATCATCAGAAACGAAGATTTACTACACCTGACCAAACAAAAGAGGGTAGTAAATGAAATAAAGTCCAGAAAGTGGGGTTGGATCGGTCACACACTCCGAAAAAATAACTCCAGTATTGCAAAGACTGCCCTAGAGTGGAATCCCCAAGGAAAACGAAAAAAAGGTCGCCCAGTACAAACTTGGAGAAGATCCATTATGGACGAGATAAGAAAACAAGGAAAGTCTTGAAATGAGGTGAAGGCCATAGCGCAAAATAGAACCCGATGGCGCGTTTTCACTGAAGCTCTATGCTCCACTTAGGAGTTCAAGAACCTTGAACTCCTAAGTGGAGCATAGAGCATTGAAATATATTTATATATATATATATATATATATATATATATATATATATATAAAACGTATTGCAAGGCTCAAGTGGCAATGGGTCAGACACGTTGCCCCGAGCTAATCCCGAAAAATGGACATAAAAATTAACAAACTGGAGACCAAGAGAGAACAGGCGAGGAGTAGGCAGACCGCAGAAGAGGTGGACAGACGATATCATACAAGTCGCGGGCAAGCAGTGGATGAGAATTGCCAAAAGTAGAAATCGATGGAAGCAAATGGAAGAGGCCTATGTCCAGCAGTGGACGAACACAGGCTGAAGAAGAAGAAGAAGAAGATTAGAACTAAGTCCTATGCTGGCGGTTACTTGTCTTTTAATATGATGACAGCTGACAAGTTTCATAATTAAGAAAACTACAATTTTTTACAATTTTTACAAAAAATTGTAAAATTATTATTAAACGGTGATTTTTTTAAATTTTTATTTACACTTATTTTAATTTATTTACAGTTTTTTTGACACTGACACTAAACACACAATTAATTTATAATATTTAATACTTAACACTACTAATTTATTTCTTAGAGTAACTCTTTACAATAGTTGTAATTTTTATATATTTTTTCTGATCCTTTGTTCTGAAATATCATTGAAGTCTCTCATCAGAACGTTGATTTGTTCGAAAAATTTTTACTCTGGCGTAACCCTCGTTGCGTCAGAATGCAACTACTCACAAATCTGGAACATCTACTTTATATATAATAGCAATGTAGAATCACCTATACTAAAGAGGTAGCTTCTTTGAACGTTCAGTGACGTTACATCATACTTAGAATATTAATCAGTAGCGTAATGAGCGGACTGGCATAACAGTAGCATAGCTCTGAAGACGGCCCTGTAAGCAGAAGGCGCTTAGCTAGGAATTAAATTTTCTACATTCTTGCAAAGTACTTTTCTTTTAAAGACATTTATGGATCAATTTAATATTTATTTTCAGAGTTTTTAACAGAAGCGGTCTATCTCAGCGTCGACCCATACATGAGAGCATATATATCAGAAATGTCTGTGATTGGAAACACCATGATGGGAACACAAGTTGCTAAGTTAGTAAATATGTTGTCGTTTAAATACTATATGAGTTACGCATTTCTGCTTATAAAAGGTATATTTTACATTTGTTTCTTTATACATACCAACAAATACAAAGACATCAAAAAAATCGTAATTAGAACAGATCTTGGAATTATTTGTTCTTCTTTTGGATAGTCTTGTTTGTTGTCTATTTTAAGAATTTTCAGTTCTAAAGCATATAAAAATCTTGAAAAATCCATCTACATAGAAGATTAACCATTTTAAAATCAAAAATATTGGTGATTTTAAGTTTGTGAAGCAGTAACTACCTTTGAGAATGAATTTAATTAAAATTGAATCTTAAATCCAATTATGAAACTATAAAATGTATTTACAAAATATAATTACAAAATAAATAGTATAGCAGATGAAATTTATTTAAATGGGTACTTCTTTTTTTAGTGCCGTCTAATTTCACTAATAAAGGTTGGCTATAACCATTGCAAATTAGTCTCTATCTTCTGCTTTTCTTAAGAGCGTCAGCGTGTTTAACCCAGTCCAGTCGCGAATGTTTTTCAGCCAGGATATTTGTCGTCTACCAGGACCCCTATTCCCTTCGATTTTACTTTTAATAATCAGCTGCAACAACTCGTACTTATCACAGAATAGATTGTAGTCTCAGTCTTCTTTTAAATGTATATGTACGGTCCGTCCCAAACCCTTTTTTCAGTGCGTCACTAAATGTGACGTCATATAGGATTTTAAGAATGTCGAAAATTATTGCTTGACATTTTAGTTAAATCTGACAGTTACAGGATCGTAATCGACTAAATGTGAAAAGGTTATTTTTTTAAATAGGTATGTAGTCTTTGTTCTTTCTCGGTATATCTCGGCATATTTTAAATATTTTTATGACAATAAATACAAAATCAAATTTTCACTGTAAAATGTCTGAAAATACTAACCTGGAATGACAATTATCATTTTATCAGTTGACATTGTGAAAGTATTGTCATGATCAAGATAATCTGCGTCAAATTATATTTATGCGCATCATTGATTGGATATCTATTTAGCGTATTCTAAACTCCAACCAATTATACATCCGTAAGTAGAATTCGCTTTAATATGCAAATACTCGTGAACGATACATAATTTTTTATGTTCTATGTATAATAATCACAGACTCACGTCTTTTTTTGTCACTTTTAGCTTTATGCGTTAGAGAGAATTCGATCAACTATGACGCACTGAAAAAAGGGTTTAGGACGGACCGTAGTTGTAAATCAGACAGGATTTCAATTATGTATGTAGATCATTTATAAATTTTCACTTGGTTACTAAGCTGCAGTTAGGTTATGTATGTATACTGGCCTTAAATTTGTATTTTCTTGTATATTCGACCCTCCTCGTCGCCAAACTGTTGTATATGTACTTGTAACCTAATTAAAATGTTGAATGTATTTTAGATTCCTTTATTTCATTTACTAATTAACACATGTATATCTATGTATTTATCTTATATGGTATGTAGGTATCCATTTAGTAATGTCCCATGACAACATACAACATGCAAACATCTGTCAACATACAAGTACCATGTCATGAAACTCCTAAAAGTCAAGTATATGACATATATGACATCTTTAATGGGCGTTATGAAACCAGCCCGAATATAGTGCGTAGTGTTAAAACAAACGTAATTATTGTAAAACGTAATCCGGTGAGATAGATATATTTTATGGAAATACATCTACATTTTATGGAGTAACATCTGGAAAGTTAATGAAATATTAACAGAAAAGTGTTTGTGTAAATATGAAATATGAAAATATTAAATACAATATTAATTGTTTATTTGTCATCATCATCATCATATAACGGGGGTCCTACGGCGATTGCCGCTTCCCGCATTTCAGCCTCCATCTTTTCCTATCTCCCCAATCTCTCTCTTCTAAGCCTCTAGATTGCATTGTTTTTGTCATTTCTCTTCTCCAGGAATTTGGTGGCCTTCCCCTTTTCCTACTTTCTGGCGGAACCTACATTAAGGCTTTCTTTGGCCACCGCTCCTCCTCCATTCTCATCACGTGACCATACCATTGTAATTGCCTTCCTTGTATTCTATCTGAAAGAGTATCTCTAATTCCTGTACAGTTTCGTATTTCCTCATTCCTGATTCTTTCCATTCTCGATACTCGACATGACCTTCTAAGATAATCCATTTCCACAACGTCTACTTTATCTCGTTCATTCTTTGTCATCGTCCAACATTCGGCACCATATGTGGTAATTGGTTCTACAGTTGCTCTGTATACGCGAAGTTTGGTATGCATCTTTATTTTATTAGACCACAGTAATGAATTCAGTAGTCGGATGCATTTTTTCCCTTGGGTTATTCGGTTTTGTACATCTATCTTATATCTTCCTAGATATTTATACTGGTTGCAGCCTTTTATGACTGCGTCTTCAAGCCTCAGATCTGTGGTATTTCCTCCAATTTTTAAATATTTTGTTTTGCTTATGTTTACAGTAAGCCCCCATTTGGCATATTCCTCAAATAATTTTCGATTCATATAATTTATATCTTCCTCATCGGTTGCAACCACCACCTGATCATCTGCAAACAACAATGTATACAGAGTTTCTTGTCCCACTTCGATGCCCATAAATCTACATTTATTAAATGTAGTTTTGTAATTTGAAATTGTTTATTTGTACAGTGTGGAAACCACTTATGGAATAAAATTGTTTGTGTCCTTATTTTAGAAAATAATAAAAAACGTTGAGATACCTTAACTTTTAAATTTAAATGTACGCTTTTTAGACATAAATTTAAATGTTCAGGGTGATCAATGCAAGTCTGGCATAGTGCATAATCTGTATTTTAAATGAAACACCCTGTATATTTTCATGTTTTTAAAAGCTCCTTAACAACCTGAGTTCAACGAACTATATCATGTAGGGTCTATTATGAATAATACAAGGTGAAATTTTGAAATTATGTATTTTCTTCAAGACAATGAATTCATAGAATACATAGAATAATCTTGATTGGATTACATTAAAATAAATGCTCAACATATTCTCCACCTTGTTGTTGGCAAAAACACAGTCTCCTATAAAACTTGTTCCGATCAAGTTTAAGGTGAAATATTCCGTATTTCTGTAGTTATCCTTTCTTTATGAGGTCTTCAATGATAGTTGATTGTATTGCATATACTTTATTCTTGAGATAACTCCACAAAAAAGCCAAAGGCGTAAGATCTGGCGACCTAGCTGGCTACTCAATAGTCCTCTTCATCAAATCCACTTATTGAAGAAGATTTCACTCAAGTAATTTTTCACCATTAAAGCATAATGGGGTGTTGCACCATCTTGCTGGAACCAGACAGTTTCATGCGGTACGGTCGGATCTATTGGATTGGGAGATAAGTTAGCCAACTAAGAAAGAACATCGTCTCTTAGCATGGTTAAATATTTTTCCGCTGTCAAATTACCATCTATAAATATACGACCAATAATATGATCTCCTATAATACCTGCCCAAACATTCAAATTTTGAGGATACTGAGTGTATGTGTCACTCATCTAATGAGGATTCTCTGCTAACCAAAATCTACAGTTTTGTCAGTTTACCTCTCCATTTAATGTAAATGTTGATTTATCAGAAAAAATAATTGAGGTTCCTCGATCCGGATCGTCTTCTATTAGCTCCTGCACAAATGTCAATTTATATGGATGAAGTTTTCTTCATGGAGATACCGTAGGACAGTTGTGTGACTCACATTATTTTGACGTGCAATTTGACGTAAACTTGACGTTGGATTCTCTGCGACACTTAACAAAATATCCACTTTTACTTCAGCTTCAATGAAGTTCGATTTTCTTTTTAATGGTTTGATACCTTATGAAATATTAGGTAGCTGAGGATACCTCTGATTAAATAAGTTTGCTACTTCAACTTGACTTCTACAATTCTTCCCGTAACCGATCATCATTAAAATCTCAATTCTGTGAGCCTTAAATAAATATTTCATTTTTATTTCTGCTAGAAATTAGTTTTTAATTAAGAATTTATTATTTTAATGTAAAATGTCAACAACATGTCAACTGATTGATAACAATCCACATTATTTACCGATTTAGTTTAATTTGCAGACTATCTATACAGTTTTTACTTATTCAGGACAAAAAATATTAACACGGATACTAAACAGAAATTTTCCCCAATATACAGTGTACTGACACTTACGAGTAGAAGTCTATTGTCTGTATTTAGCTAATTTAAAATAATACCATAACACGTGATAAATTATTAATTTCAAAATTTCACCTTGTATTATTCATTATAGACGCTACATGATATAGTTCATTGAAATTAGATTGTTAAAAGTATTTTAAAAACATAAAAATGTACAGGATGTTTCATTAAAAATAAGGATTATGGACTATGCCAGACTTGCGTGGATCTCCCTGTACATTTAAATTTGTGTTTAAAATGCGCACATTTAAATTTAAAAGTTAACGTGTTCCAGAGTTTTTGATTATTTTCTATAATAAGGACACAAACAATTTTATTCCATAAGTGGTTTCTACACTGTATATAATTTTTGTATGAGGGTGGCGCCCCGTAGCCGTCCTTCATCCACCATTACTGCTTATAGTGGTAGATCAACGACAAATTCAAAGACAAAAGGGTACTAACTTTTTCACATAAAGGAGCACCCCATCAATATGTCTAATTAGCCGCTCACTTTTTACAAAGAGAAACTGTATTAGGAAATTGTAGTTTTTATTATTAATCATTTTTCTTATACCTTTTATTCAAAATACTTATATTTTGACATTGCTTTTCTACTAGAATACTAGAGAGCAAAAATGACAAGTTTCCTCCAGGTAGATACGTTGTTGGTACTTTTGGATGGCAAACCCATACAATTTCCAGTGACGAACGACTTCGCTTGGTCCCAGATCTTGGAGGGCTTCCTCCCTCACTTTGTCTTGGAGTGTTGGGAATGCCAGGGTAAGAGCATTATTTAATATACTACAATTTATAATTTAAATTTTATTAGTTTACGAAAAATCAAAAAGAAAGTTTAATAAAAGTATAAAATAATATCCAAAATAAAAAATTTGCTAAAAAAATAAACTCAGCAAGTGTTAAGCGTTGTTACAGACATCATAGCTTGCCTCAAACAATTTAAGGTTCAGAACTGACCTGCACAACATGTTCATGTATACAGAGAGCCACACGTTCCGGGAACAATAAAGTTCCAGAGTAGCTTATAGGTGGTTCTAACTCGGTGATTCATCTTTTGCTTCTAGGTTTATGTAGCAATGTGAAATGGGTATAATCAAAGGAATAGATGCATTGGCCATGCAACGCTACTGGGTTTTATATTATCAAAGGATACAAAGTTCGTTATGAAAATAGTAGTTATTTTTGACACTTGTTATAAAATATCGGTTGCGACGAAACAGTCAAGCAACTGTTGCCAACTTGTTATTTTACAATAATTCAGATAATTTAAAAACAACTGGTGCAAACTGCACTCTTACCAGTCTATCAGTCTCTACGTGGCACGAGTATGGGGTGCGACTGTGGAAACACACGTACAATAGACTCTTGGTATGCGCGAACAGAAATTGTCTTTTGTGGACTCGCTGAACTGCGGGCACAAGTACTAGCACTAGGCACAGGCACAGGCCTTATATCTAACGAACGTGCTTATCAGACATGTGAGTCCGTAGCTACTTGCGCAGGTTTAAAAAGACCGAATCGGATAATTGTCTATATCCGAAAATCGTATATGGAGCTTCGGATACCTTGTCACATACCCTTTTAGAGTATCAAATAGGTAAGAGACAGGAATGAGCTAGAGTTCAATGAGAAAGATGGTAGAGAAGATGGTGATAAATGAGTGCTGGTGCAACAAAATCCACAACTATGTGAGAAAGGTGCTGTCGCTAAAAAATAGGAAGAGCGAAAGCTAGATGCACTTCTAGCAGTTATTGAGAAGGCAGAACTGGACCCGTAGACGTAGGATGAAGAAGAGGTTGACAACATAAGGATAAGGCAACAAGGGAATGAGAGAGACAAAAATTAAGGCAAACACGGGAGAGTGACAGTGCAAGTGGAATGAGGTGAGGTTCGGGTGAGGTATAGACCAACGGCGACAAATAGCACACGGTATAGTTCATCGCTACTCTGCCTTTCATTTACCCGAAATACCTGGTTACGCAGAGATGGACGTGGTTTACGCGTGAGTGTAAGAGACAAAAGCTGACGTGTGCCCTAGTATGAGACGGGTGGGGTTTAGCTGGTTCCAGCCATATCGGAGTTATGGAGGACCGGGAGGTCCTACCCAGGGCCAAGCTAACCGACGTGATGCTGAAGGGGTTTTTAGTTTTTGGAATCCAGCACTGTCAAAAAAGCCTACCTCTTACAATAGCTTAGGTAGATAATAGGCTAAAATTGGTAATGCCATGCTGCAATTATGAAGATAGTTGAAAGAAAAACAACATATTGATACCTTTTATGTTACAATAATGCAGCTCAAATTAGAGATCAGACTGAAGGTTCATCTTAGAACTTATTAGAACCCAGAATTAGTTCGTGGGAACTTTTCTTATTTTCTTGGGTGAATATTAGCTTAAAGATGCTTGTTTAAGCACACCGTTTTGCATGTGTAGGGCGTGTTTTTTAAGTAAATGATCCAGGTACTGGTGTTTGAATTTTTGGCCTACCGGTGTAAGTTTTTCTGGGGTCCTGCAAAGCAATCGTAAAAAAAAGACATAAAAATAATAAACAGCTATTATCAGATATTTTTTATACTAAATTTACTGTTTTTTTTTTTGTTAAACGAGAGGACAGCTACCGCTGTTATCACCTTATAGACAGGTATAATTGTGCAATGGCATTGTTAACCCATGGAAAATCGATTCCTATCTATCCATGTGCAAAACTCTTAGTAAGCTAGTTATCTAAAATAGTTTTGTCCAGACATCAGAGGTTTCGTTACTGGCAAATGTCAGTAATTTGGTTGGAAAGTAAAAGTGTGTTTGTTTGGGTTATCTGAAGAATAGATTACCAAGAGATTAGTGGCTTTAAAAATATTTTGGGCTTTTAATTCTGGCTGGAATATTCAATAGTTGATCTATCTGGGCGAAGAGAAGCTGTGTATGATAACTACTGAGTTTGAGTGTCCAAAAATAGTTCGAATAAATATTGTCAGAACCTGTAGTATGAGTGTTACCAATTTGGCAAAAGTGTTCTACAGGTTAGGCCGATCTCTTAGTAGTTTTATGAAAGATAGGGTTGAATATTGAGTTATTTGAAGTACCAAAGATATTATATATACATGTTTTTAAGGCTCATGCCTTTAATTAATTTTTAATTTTGTTGTTCACCGACAGGTGAGATGGTTTTGATCGAATGCGTCGAGTAGCAACACCGATCGAGGTAACGCAATGGAGACGCAAATCAGAGGATGCTAAATCCAATATGTTTTAACTGAATCATAAAAGGCACACAATGTACTCCTGATGCTTAAATAGGTTAAAAATATTTTTTATTCAGTATTTCAATATTTTTCTTAGAGTTATATAAAAATAGTAACATGTTAATTTTAATAATTAGATATAAAATAGCAGACAAAAGACTTCTTCTTCTTCTTTGGGTGCCGTGTCCGTATTCAGACGTTGGCCGTCATCATGTTTACAATTTCCTGAAACCTTTCTCTGTTGGAAGTAGACAAAAGACTAGTTTATAAATAATATATGTACATATTTTATTACCATTACGAAACCGTTAAGGCAAGTATTCAATGTGACTCGTGTGATCCACTACTTCATGGCAGTAACAAGACAGAAATAAGGCACTAAGAGTGTTTGGTGTATCTGTTATTAATTTTTATACATATTAATGTCACACTGTCACTCTTTTATTTTTTTGTATTCGTTTAATTACAATTAACAATTTGTTATAGAAACACAGCATATTTTGGATTTCTTGAGATATGTCAACCAAAACCAGGCGAAACTGTTGTAGTTTCCGGAGCTGGAGGAGCTGTTGGTAGCCTTGTTGGTCAAATTGCAAAAATTAAAGGATGTACAGTTATAGGCATCGCAGGATCAGACGAAAAAGGTAAATGGTTGACAGAGGAACTTGGATTCGACCATTTTATAAATTACAAAACAGCAAACGTAGCGGACGAACTAAAAAAAGTTGCTCCCAATGGTGTTGACTGTTATTTTGACAATGTAAGTAATAATATACTATTCAAATGATTTTCCCTACAACTGTTCCAAGTAAGCTTTTTTTATTTTAAGTATTTAAATCTTTTAATAATATTTTATTTTGTGATGTACTAAACGTCAGTTGAAATATTTATTTAGTACACGAAACATACAAATAGCATATAAGGGATTCAAATTTAGCAATAAGAATTTCATCAAAATTAAAAGTAAAGTCGCATTAAAAAAACATACATGCCACAACCACAGAATAATAAACAATCAGAATGTCCACTCTTCATGGAAAATTAAGCACGCGCATCTCCTTCGCGCAGACGTTCCGCCATGTTTTAGAGGGAACTAGTGTTGTTTATGTGGTGTGCATAGAAAAATTAACACGGTTTAATTGACTTGCGGCAAGTATAGACATGCTATACAATTATATTGACATTGTTAAATGTATTAACATAAATAATAATATAATTAAACTTAAATATAAACAATTACATAACCTCACAAATCATATGTCTGTGTTATGTGTTTCATTCTAAAACATGGCGCGCATGCTGAAAAACTTCAAAGGCGGCATCTGAGAGTGGGCATTCTGATTGTTTATTATTCTGTGCCACAACTAAAAAGACATTGGAGAAACATGGCAATACCTAGTATACAAATTTTAATCTCATAAATTTGACCAAAAATCATACATAAAAAACAATAGAATCATTAATTTAGTTTTGAAAAAAAAACAAACAAGAAATTAAAACTAAATGTCATAAAATATTAAAAAAACAAAATCCCTTTACAAAAAATTTACTTTAGCATAATATAAATCAATACCAGAAAGCGATTTAACTGACCATTACAGTTTTGAATATATAATAGATATATCAGATATAAAACTTATACTGCGAAAACCAGCTAAATGTCGGAATACGGAAATCGGGAAAAAACGTTTTTAAAGTTTAGTTTTTTAGTGTGAATTAAGCCGTTGGTTTGTTTTTTATATTAGAGATTCTATTCAAAGATACATATATCTAAAATGATATTGTATCATTAGTTTAAAAAAGTTAAGACACCTATCTGACTAATCCTAAATTTAAGTTTGAAATGGTTTACCTGATTTTACCTGTATCTATCTATCTATTTAAGGATTTTTACAGCTGTCGCCGCCTTCCTTCTTTTAGCCAACGTCTCCAGTTCTTTCTGTTCTGTCATTCTCCCTCTCTAAGGTCTCGTCTTTCCATGGCCTCGACCACTTCATCCCTCCATGATCTTTGGGATCTACCTCTTTTCCTCCTTCCTATTGGGCTTCAATCCAAAATCTTTGCTATCCACCTTGTATGATCTGTTCTTCTCACATGTTCATACCAAATTTAACGTTTTTCTTCGATGTAGCTGAGTATGTCTTGTTTTACTGCCATTCTTCGTTTTATCTCCTCATTTCTGATGCGATCTATTTTTGTCACTCTGCAGCTTCTTCTTATGAACTCCATTTCAGTTGCTGTGATTTTAGACCTGTTTTGTTTATTTATTACCCAATTCTCTGCTCCATTATAATCTCTCTATGCAGTATAATGACCCCAACGGTCATTATACTGCGTACCAAGGTGTTATAAATTCTCTTCTTTGTATTTCTGGTAATCTGTCTATCCCATAGTACCCCGTTCATTTTGTTAATACATATTCTTGTCTGTGCTAATTTGCTGGCTATCTCTTGCTCGGTGGTTCCATTTTTTGAGAGTATGAATCCTAAATATTTGAATTTTTCAATGCCGTTAATTTCCCTATCATCGTCCTTTTCCAAGTTTCTCACTGGTTCTTGCTCTGTTGTTAAATATTCGGTCTTTTCTAGGTTTATTTCCAGTCCATTTTTTTTGTATTCATTTTCTAATTTTCGAAGCATATAGCACAGATCTTCTTTATTTTGAGCCTTTACCGTTTAAGTCTTTTGTGGTCTTAAATTCGTTGGAGTATATATTGCCAGTTTTAATTCTTACCTTGTTGTTGTTGTTGTAAAGGTTTTTTACCGCTTCTATTAACATCTGAGTTATTCGGATTTCATTCATCGTGTTCCATAGTTGTTTTCTGAGAACCGTGTCATATGCTTTTTTTAAATCTATGAATGCCGTGTGTACTGGTCTGTTGTTTGCCATTTTTTTTTCAATTAATTGTTGGAGTGTGTATATATGTGGTCTATGCAAGATCTCCTGCCGTAAACTCTGCCTGATCTTCTCCGATTTTATTTGAGATATTTATATTGATAGATATCTCAAATAAAATCGGTTTTACCTGTAAATCTAAATAAATCAGTTACTCTTCAGACAACATAATTAACACAAATATAATAAACCAAGTATAATATTTTCCAGTTTTGTGATCGAGATATGAGATATGATCGTTTACTAGGTAATAGCAATGTTTTAAGGTATTAGTCGATATTTATGAGATTTAACTGGTTTTTCCCTGAAAATTTTATTAACAGCTGTTTGTAGCTATAGTTATTATTTATATGAATGATAGGCAGTTTTATAGAAAGAACAAATTTATGTCGAATATAATAATAACAATATTATATACTATTATAATAACAATATTATTATTATGAGGCTTCCTCGTCCGATTCGTCACTGAAAGCAGGCTCTGTCAAGATGTCACATAATTTCCCATTTTCAAATTACGATACCACCCGTAATATTCCTCCGGTATCACTCCCTTATTACATAGCTGTACTAAATCTGTCTTTTTTGCTATGCTAATTGGAAAATGTACATTATAAAGTCGCTTAAATTCTTCAAGATTACTTGTATTAGTTGATAACTTGGTGTGCTTTTTTCTTGTTGACTGCCGTGCACTATTAGTAAGAAAATAATTGAAGCTTGTTGACATGTCATAATTAAAACAGATTCTATTTGTCTTTTCATTCACGAAACTCATTCTTTTTATCTTTAACCACATTATTTTTTTGCCATTTTGGTCTTTTATCTGGTTTTTAATTAAAGTGTATGACAATTTTTTAAATTAAAAAGTCATAGTATTTAAATTATTTACATTTGTATGGTTCTATACATATGTACTTTATTATCATCAACCTTAATATTTTTAGTTTCTCTTGCATTTTGAAAAACAGACAAGTAATCTGGCATCCCATAAATACATATGTGTTTTCTGGCGAGTTTGATACTACAATGTACGGAGTCTACCTCCAGATAGGAGTTTCCAGGCTCTAAAAATATTTTGTGTTGAATAATATTTAAATGATCTATGTTTTGAGTAGCCCATAATAGTAAGGCTGCAATATGATGATTACGATTCTGTCCTTTGCAGGTATCAGAAAATAAATTTATTTCACTTACATATTCTGGAACACATTTTTTTACGTATAGTCCATTTCCATCATATTCATAGCACATTATGTATGCAAATCCCTGAACTGTTGATACGGGTGTCTCAATGAAAAATAGATATTTGTCAACAAGTTTACAGAAGTATATAGGAAAACAATTTTAAATTGAGTATGACCACCAGGTATAAAGGTTGAAGCAGAATAGAATACAATAGTTTTGAGGGTTACTAATCCCTAAATAAAGTTGCCAGTGTCGGAGTGATGGAGATTAACAGGTACTAATGAATTTGCAAGAAATTTAAGATGTTTATTTTATTGGTTATATATAAAATAATTTGTGGCCGTAACAGGGGCCGATTTGTAAAAAAATGAATATTATGTTTAATCAAATTCCATTTCAGATTCACTGCTTTCTTCAGAATCTAAGGAACCTTCAACTCCAATGTTAATCATTACCGGTTCCAGCATTGCATCAGTCATATTATCCAAATTCCACATTTTATTTTCTTCCTTGTCAGCATGACTAACAGCATTTTTTCAATTTTCTGCAGTAACTTTTTGAAGGAATTTTCTAATAATTGTTATAAGTCTTCTAATTTAAAAGTTGTGTTGTTGCGTCCGACTTCACCCTTTACTTGAGAACATATATTTTCTATCGGATCACGGTTTAGCCATTTCATCAATTATATATTTTTTATAAGCTGCTTTATGTTGCCTTACAATAGGTAATAATTCCTTTTTTGTCAAATTCTCCTTGTACTCAATTGCGTGTTTATCCAACCATTCGATTATCTCTTCTTTTTTCCGTGCCGTTTTTGGCAATTTTTCTGCTAGTCTTGAATGATAACTAGCATTATCCATGACTATGACAGAATTTTTTGGAATTAAATCCAACATTTGCTCAAAATATTCTTCAAAAACGTTAGCAGTCATTTGACAAAACCAGATTCGTTTCCAATATGGGTTATTATGAGTCTGCGTCCTTTTCCAACGGGAATATTGTTTATTCCAGTAGATACACCTTCGATCAATGCCTGACGGGAACTTTTCACATTTGTATCAACCCATAGATATGGTACAGTATGACCTTCATTTAGCCAAGTCTCGTCCAAATAAAAAATTGTTTTCCTTCTTCTCGGTACTTTTTAATAGTTCTTAGATAATCTCGTCTCCAACATACAATGTAATCTTTTTTAATTAAAACGGATTTTCTTCTATCCTCTTGCCAACTAAATCCTATCTCTCTCTCAATAGTCCCCATAATTTCTTGTTCCTTATGATTGGTAACTCTTCGGTTTCTCTTACTAATGTTTGGATTTTGTCCAACGCTGAAAATTCTTTGTTAAAAAAAAAGGAGTGGACGCTGCGTCTTATCATGTTTTTATGTATTTCTTCAATTTCCAAGGGTTTACTCCCTCCACTCTTCTTGGGAGATGAAACAGTTCCTCCTTTTCTTTCTTTTATGAATCTATAAAAGATAATGAATTGTTGACGGCATCTTAAAATATTAATTTTTTTTATTTATTTCAAAACAAGTATAGGGTGACGTCTATGGTTTTTTGATCTGTTGAGGATTTGCATATATAATGTGCTATCAATATGATGGAAAAGGACTCTAATGGAGTATAAGGCTTCCTATTTTGAAACTTATTCGTCTACCGTTAATTTCTGACCAGGCAAATGAGTAAGCTACATTTGGTAATGCCGCTTTATATACACACAAATTGTAGATGCATAATTTTCGGGAATAATATAGTTGTCCAGTCAATCCACTTAAAATCTGTAGTACGACCTATAGGTGAAAGTAATTGAAACAAAATCCTATTGTTTATCAGATCTTTTCTTATCATTTTGTTTTTCAAGATTACATACTTGTTTTTTTTCTGATTTTCTCTGTAACTGTCTTCTAAATCCGATTAATCAGTTGGATTAGTCCTATCATATTTATTACAAACTAAACATTGATTTTTTTAGGAACAGAAAAGCTTAAATTATAGTAGTTAGAAAATATTCTTCGATATGTAATTTCGCTAACACCTTTCAGTTTGATCTGCTCACAGTCATTTATACAAAGTTGTTACATTACAGTCTTATACTTAAATTTTTGTTCAAATATCTACGCTTTGAACTTTGGCGAATATAATGTGGGCCCATGATTGGAAAAGAGTCAATATGAGCCTTCACGATTTTTCTTGTTTCACTGCTTGTTTTATTTGGCAGTGACATGCATTCAAATTAAGGCTATGTAAGTCATTTAGTTGTTCTGCTACCTTTGCCCATATAATTTTCATAGATTTCATTTGTAAACTCCCTACCCTATCTCTGTATTTTTTATAAAAATCTATTAATGACAGTGTCTGGTTGTGGGTCCAAGATATACTGACTGAAACACTTGTCGATGGACTTTGGTTTACAATTATAAACTCTTGTAAATCTGAAACAAATGTAACCTTTAAATGCCGTTTAGAAAAATGTGTTTCATTATTTTGTTAAACTTTCACTTTAGACGAAGTTATTGTTTTGAAAAAAAGTATGTGGTACTTACCTTCCATATTAGAAGTCTATTTGTTTGATTACAAAAATTATAAATCTCGATATTAATCAAAAATATTAGGTTAGGTTAGATTAATTTAATTCCGATAATCAGCAAATCGTTCGTGCAGCATATATTTTGACAATGGTAAGAAAACAGTCTAATTTCACGTCTGCGCAGAGTGCATAGTTTACAAACGGTGAGCAAACCACTGCAGAAACAAACCTAATAACACGTATTTGCTAAAGAAAATTATTGTAAATGAGCACGAAAAAAGAAAAAGAATGGCAGCTGTATAATATCAGAGTTGTTTGAAGATGACAGGAATAACATTTCCGAATTCTACCAAAACTGTACTGACGGCCCAGAAATTATGTAATGCGAAGTAGAACACGCTATAAATAATGCTAAAATTAGTAAAGCATGTAGTCCAGATGATACACCAACTGAGTTGCTGAAACTAATAGAGAAAATATCATAAAAGTAGTAGTAAGACTTTTTAATTCAATATATAACACCGGAGTTATTCCCGCAGATTGGCTCAAATCCATTTTAGTCGCAATACTCAAAAAACACAATGCGAGAAAATGCTCAGAATATCGATTAATTAGCCTAATGAGCCACACTCTTAAAATTTTCCTTAGAATACTTCACAACAAAATTAGACGCAAATGCGAAGAAGATCTTGAAACCCAATTTGGTTTTAGAAATGCTATGGGATCCAGAGAGGCACTTTGTGAGCTTAACATCCTATTACAAAAATGCCGTGGCCAAAGAAAAGATGTATTTGCATGTTTTTTGGACTTCGAAAAGGCATTCGATAAAGTACAGCATGTAAAATTAATGCAAATACTGAAAAATATCGGAATAGATGACAAGAATATTCGTGTCATTAAAAATTTGTACTGAAATCAAACTGCTATCGTAAAATTTTTTGATAACTACACCGATGGAATCTCTATACAATGAGCAGTGAGACAAGGTTGCATTTTGTCGCCAACATTGTTCAATGTTTACTCGGAACAGTTATTTAAAAAGGCACTTGAGAGACAACCATGTGGAATAAAAATCAACGTAAATCAAATACAGTAAATCTATCAGATAATATTGAAGGTCTTCAAATTCTGCATGATCATATTCACGAGCTAAGAGAGGAAATGGGCATTAAAATAAACTTAAACAAAACCAAATTTTTAGTGTTTAGTCGTTACCCACATCCCGATTTAAACGGAGTCGAAGTTGAGAAAGTTCACAAAATGACATATTTGGGAACTGTGATAACGGACCAACTAGATCCAGTCATAGAAATAAAACGTATACTTAATAGCAATGACTAAAACTACTTTTATGAAAATGAAGTCATTTCTTTGCAATAACCATCTCAGTTTAGAAGTAAGGCAAAGAATGGTAAGGCAAGAAGTGCTATGTTTGGTCCGTCCTTTTGTATAGTGCAGAAGTGTGGACGCTAAAAAATATCGATCATGAACAGAATTGAAGCATTGGAAATGAGGGTTCATAGACGAATGCTGAAGATAGCTTGGACAGCAAGGAAATCTAATGAAGAAGTACTAAGGAGAGTCAACAAAAAAAGAGAACTGCTAAAGACTGTTAAACATCAAAAAATGTCTTATCTGGGACATATAGTAAGGGGAAGTCGATATAAAATATTACAACTGATCCTTAAAGGCAAAATAGAGGGCCGTAGAATTGTAGGAAGAAAACAAGTTTCTTGGTTAAAAAACATTCGTGAATGGACTCAGATACCAAATGGAGGACAATTATTACACATTGCAGAAGATCGAGAAGCCTTCGCAATGGTGATCGCCAACGTCGGATAATTCTGATATAGCACGCGAATAAGAAGAAGAATCATTTATAAATTTTAACTCAACCCGTTTTCAGGTAGAATGAAGAAGTCAGTGTACTTAAAGGTTTTGACTAGTCGATGTTAAGGAGAAACTTTAATAAATCATACACGTAAAAGGTATTACGTGACACTTATCATCTTTTTACTGAATATCGTATGCAGTAGTAGAAATATATTGTTGTCTGGTATAATAACGTAATAAGTGGGCTTACCTTAATTTACATGCAACAAAACTTTAATTTTATGGAAGTAAGTGGCGATATATTGTTTTATTTCAAAATAAAAAGGTCGTTAGGTGTAACTTCTTTGTTTATTACACAAATTATCTGTTAAATAACAAATCGTATTATTTATTGGGTTTTACTTTACCTTTACTGGAAAAAGCTGAGAATTTTGGTATAAAATGAAAAAAGTTGGTTTCGAAAATTATTTTACGGATTAATTTTGGTATACTTAACTCAATATTTTAAAATTTGTCATTTACCTGGTTTTCGCAGTATACCGACGATATAATAGATATGTCAGACCACATCAGTTAACTTACATTATCAATTTACTGTCTCCTTTCCACTTATTTGTCTAAGCCTACTCTCTAATTTTTTCTACGTCTCTTTCTTCCTCTTTTTGGTGATCATTTCAAAATCTGTTTTGGTACTCTCAGGCAGTAATCTGTAGGCGTAGCTATCTTAGCTTAGCATTCAATTTCTTTCTTATCTTTTAATTTTTTTTCTTGTTGTTTTCGTAGTCTTATCTTATACACATTTTTCTTGTCATAAGTATGTTGACTTCCAGATCCTATCTTTGATACTCTTCTATTAATTTTTTATCGCGGATTTAACGTTATCGTGTTCCTACGCTAATACTACCAAACACTATACAATACGCTAAATATAGTGTATATAGGTGTGTATTGTTTTTTAGGGGTATCTATATTCCACTGCATTTTCTATCCATGTTTTAATAGCTTGTCCGAAGTTAATTAAAAAAAAAACGACAGAGACAACCTTGTTTGTGCCTTTTTTTACTGCAATGCCTTGAGACAATTTCTTTTCTTCTTTTTTATTTTTACTTCGCAAGTTATTTCGTAGTACAGTCGTCCAACAGCTTTTATTATACCATTATCTATATTTGTTTTTTCTAATGTCTTCAATAATTTCTTTAATGATATATAGTTTTAGCAAAGACATTAAATAATCTACCACAACATTCTCAATGAACTACCCCCAAGCAAACTACATTAGAATATAATATAGCATTAATTGATATAAGGTTGAATGCTCGAATAAATGAACTGATAAAATGAAAGGCAGAAATTGGCAGCAGGAGAGAGAATCTCTCCTGTTGCCGACAAGAATGTAGCTTCGACTAATTTTAAATAATTTTAAACTGTTTCTCCTTGTTTAGTGTAGTGTTATGTAAAATTTTAAGTTTAATTTTATGTTTATTACATTCTGCGCTTGTTGGATAGCCCAAAATTGACAAACTGCCCCTGATAATGCTTTAGATAGCAAAAGTACCAGGGTAAGATTTGATTAATAAAATTATGCTTCATATCTGCCTTTCATTTTACTAAAATAATATTAATTGTTCAAGTAAAGATATGTATATTATATATATATATATATATATATATATATACATGTATACATATATATATATATATATATATATATATATATATATATATATATATATATATATATCCATATATATATATATATATATATATATATATACATATATATATATATATATATATATATATATATATATATATATATATATATATATGTTATATGCATTATATAAAGCATTAATCTTTTTTAGGTTGGTGGAGTACTTAGTTCCGTAATTATAAATCAAATGAACCTCTACGGTAGAATATCAGTATGTGGATCAATTTCTAGTTACAACGATACTGAAACAACACTTGGTAAATATAGCAGTAATAGTATTGAGTATTTCTAATAGTTTTTTACTTGTGGCTATATATATATATATATATATATATATATATATATATATATATATATATATATATATATATATATATATATGTATATATACATATATATATATATATATATATATATATATTTATATATATATATATATATATATTTATATATATATATATATATATATATATATATACATATATGCACTGCCGAAAAAGAATTCCGGATCAAATTATAGAGTACTTCGCAGGTCAGTTCATCATCCTTCCCGTTTCCTTGGTATGATCTATGGTCACAGTATCGAGACAGCGTCTACTTATTTCGACTTTTAAAACCAAATAAAGACATTAAAAAAGTTGGTTTTTCACGAGTTTTGAATTAACCTCTTAGTAAACGGAAACCGTGATTAACGAAAATTATAGTCCCCAAGTCTGTTTGATTGTCTTAGGAGATCACAATTATTAGAGTACCCGTCGTCAAAAAAGTTTATGATACATACCGTCTTCAAACTTTGGGTATGGCTTCATTAGGCTGGCACTGATACGTGTTTTCCTCTGTGACTTTTTGTTATGGGCAAATTTTTCTCTAATTTTCCCAAAACATTTCACCCATCAGGCAGGAAAATCGGAAAACAAGTTCCGCCAGATAATATGAAAAGTTGTTTTTGCTTCTATTAATAAAAGTATCCAGAAAAAATTAGCTGGGTAGTTATGATTTTCTTCACTGTAGTTTTTCTGGCATGTTTAAGTCTACAGGCACGTTGAGTGACATATTTATCATCATTTAATTTTATTTTCGTGTTTTTGCTAATAATTTTTATTTAATTACAAGAATATCAGTATAGATCATTTTTGGTATGTCGTAAAATCGAGAAAATTAAAAAATGTTTGGAAAAGTTAGAAGATCACCTCAGAATCAAAAAAAGTCGCAGAGAAAAACCGTGTCAGACTCAGTCTAGTAAAGTGATACCCAAAGTTTAAAGAGAGTATCTATCATAAACTTTTTTGCACTCTATTTTATTGCATTCTTTTTGCCTGTCACAAGACCTTATTCTAGAAAGTTTTATAGATAAGAGTATGGAGTTGATAGATGCATTTTAAAGAGAAAAACTGGTAATTGTTTGCATTGAAAAGACGAGGTGGTAAGAAAAATTGCAAAAGAACTAGGTGAAGGATAGAAATTGTCGTATGAAAGGAAAATTAACCTTAAAAATGGAGTTAACATTATTGCTAATAGAGGAATTAAATAAGCAATCAAACTACTAAGCAGTAAAATTGTAGCAAACTTCTGTTTTATGTCTACGTAAGCTTTAGGCCCAGCTTGATATAAGATAGATTTAATGTCCACTCCTCTGGGTATTGAGTATTGGTAAAGTTGTTATAGAGCTTTTTTTGGTAGAGGCTCAAACCACTATTATTTGCGGATTAATCACTAGACCCCACAATGTGAATTGCATTATATTGTTTTGTTGTTGTTATTGATTGTTTTGACAAAACTTCTTTTGGTCACAATTTACAGGTGGTCTACATATTTAATTCTAGAAATTTTGTGGACACCTTCGCTAATGGATCTGCCATAAAAGTAGCCCACAGTAATGTATACAGTACTCTGCACTTTTAACTAAAAGGCACATAAGAGCTAAGAAAGTTGATGTACTAACTGCTATTAACCAAACCTATAAAGCTAATTTATAGGAGTTTTAAAACTGTAAAATATTAATATCTTATTCACAAACAGGTACTGCTTTGACCTGACGAAATATGCAACTAACAAACCTTTTTGTCTAAAAAATAGTTGTCATAATTATATGAATCTGAAGTATAAGTAACCAAATTCGATTAGTTCTTTTTATCTTTCTTTAGGAAAAATTTTATGCAAAATATTTGTAAAGGTTTTGTGAAAACACACCATGAACTTGCGGATATTGCTTTGACCTGCAGAACATTATTATACAGGCAGAACTTTGGTAGAAAATATCTTACTACTACAATTAAATAAATTCATTATTTCAGTAACAGGACAACCGTTTAAAATAATTTGACTACATAGATTATAGGTATTCCGTATTTAACTAACTATTTCTTTTCCTTTGCCCTAATGATCTGACGATTATTCTTTTAGCCCCTATGCTCCAACGAGGATTTCCAGGTAAACAGCTCAAAATGGAAGGATTTATCGTTAGAAGATGGGATGACAGATGGATGGAAGGTATTAATCAAAACCTGGAATGGATCAAACAGGGTAAGATCAAATACCATGAGACCATCACCGAAGGATTCGAAAATATGTTCAAAGCTTTTACTGGAATGTTGAAAGGAGAAAATACGGGAAAGGCAATTGTAAAAGTTTAATTAATTAAATTAATTTTCTTGATTTAAATTTCGTTTTATTTTAAAAAGAATAAATCTTTCTTTCTAGCTCAATTAGCTCAATTCTTAAAAGAAAAAATTTAATAGCTATTATTGTCTTTTTAAATATGCTTCTTAAATAAATTCTTATTTGTGTACTTACTTTTTTTAATTTTGATTAATTAGTTCTCTCATTATCGTTCTGAAGCTATTTTCTTGTGACATTTTAAAGTACTTACTATTTAAAGCGGAATAAGCCATAATTAAAACTAGCGTCTAGCCGTTGGCAGGTCAGGATAATCCTGACCAATCCAATTGCACTTGAGTACGTGTGTAGCGCGTCATTTAAATTATGTACATATTTGAATGTAACAGAACAGTTCTCATTTCTCATATCACGAAACGTTCTCGGATTGTTCACTCAAACAAGAAGTAATGTTTAGTTGTTTTAAATACACAGTTTTATTATTTTACATATTATAAATACTATCTTATTGTGAGTTGGCAACAAGTGAGGGAGGGCTTGTCTGCTTGTCACTTATTAAATAGTTGTTATTTGTTATGTTGTTGTATAATAAAAATAATTACCACAATCAAATATCAGCAATAAACCGACGTTCATATAGACATGGAAATAACTGTCCAATATCAGTTTGATGTCCAATGTGTGTTTTTATAAAATTGACTTCAACTTTTTCTGCCAAATCAACCACAACCGTGAGACTGCTGGGCAAAATCCACCAATTTTTATACTGCCTTTCATTTTTAAGTGCCTTTTTCCTTTGCGTTCAGAATTAAAGCAGCCTGACCGATGACAGAGAAACTTCATTGTTTTGTGAGTCTTTGCGGAAAAGTTCTCGACTTTAACGTATTTGGTTTTTGTACTACTTTCAATAAAACATTTCCACTCCTGAAAAGAGACTAAATTGGAAAATTGAAGTGTTTGACTTTCTAGGATTAGGTTGTGTTCTTCTTGAAAATGAGAATGCAATTCTGCAACATAACTTGAATAAAAATTATACAAAGGACACTTCTTAGAATCTTTCTTGATTTTGCTATCTTCCGTTGAAGTGTCTACAACATTTTTATGAGTTTCTGTGTATTCAAAACAATTAAACATAACTCGTTATTTGTGTGAACAATCTGAGAACGTTTCGTGATATGAGAAATGAGGACTGTTACACTCAAACCTATACATAATTTGAATGACGCGCTACACACAAAATCAAGTGCGATTGGATTGGTCAGGATTATACTGACCTGCCAACGGCTAGGCGCTAGTATAATTAAAGGTTAAAGTATGTTTATTGACGTTTCAATTTCCACTTCGGAAATCGTTCTCATAATACAAACATTTCTGAATAAAAATTATAACTATAATTAAAAATTAAAAATAAAATACTGAGGTTTGTATTTTGAGAACGATTTTCGAAGTGGAAATTGAAACGTCAATAAACATCTTTTAACCTTTAATTGTAGCTATTCCTATTTAAATAGTACTTAGTTTTCTTATAGTGTAGTACCTTATTAGGTCAGTGACATCTACTCCTAATATGGCGCTATACCGCCCACGAAATCAACTTTTAGGAGAATAATTTTGATTATTCTTTATATTTTCAAGGTGACTAAGTCCAAATATGAATTTTTTCGTTATGCAGAATAAAGGGAACATGTTTAAAAATTATTTCCTCTTCTTCGGTAACCATATCAGAATTATCCGTCGTTAGCGATCACAATTGCGAAGGCTTCTCGATCTTCTGCAATATGAAATAATTGTCCTGCATTTGGTATCAGAGTCAATTCACGAATGTTTTTTAACCAAGAAACTTGTTTTCTTCCTACACCTCTACGGCCCTCTATTTTGCCTTTAAGGATCAGCTGTAATATTTTATATCGACTTCCCCTTACTATATGTCCCAGATAAGACATTTTTCGATGTTTAACAGTCTTTAGCAGTTCTCTATCTTTGCTGACGCTCCTTAATACTTTTTCATTAGTTTTTCTTGCTGTTCAAGGTATCTTCAGCATTCGTCTATGAACCCATATTTCCAATGCTTCAATTTTGTTCATGATCAATACTTTTAGCGTATACACTTCTGCACTATACAAAAGTACAGACCAAACATAGCACTTAACCATTCTTTGCCTTAGTTCTAAACTGAGATGGTTATTGCAAAGAGATGACTTCATTTTCATAAAAATAGTTTTAGTCATTGCTATTCTAGTTTTATGTCTGGATCTAGTTGGTCCGTTATCAGAGTTCCCAAATATGTCATTTTGTAAACTTTCTCAACTCGGACTCCGTTCAATTGAAGCTTTACAACGGGATGTGGGTCACGTCTAAACACTAAAAATTTGGTTTTGTTTGAGTTTATTTTAATGCCCATTTCCTCTCCTACCTCGTGAATACGATCAAGCCGAATTTGAAGACCTTCCATATTATCTGATAAAATTACTGTATCATCTGCATATCTAATCTCATTAAGTAGTTCGCGACAAAATGCAACCCTATCTGACTGTTCTTTGTATAGAAATTTTATATATCTCCAATTTTTATATATCTCGGTGTATTTATCTCTAATTTTTACGATAGCAGTTTGATTCCAGTACAAACTTTTAATGACACGAATATCCTTATCATCTATTCCGATATTTTTCAGTATTTGCATTAATTTTACATGCTGTACTTTCTTGAATGGCTTTTTGAAGTCCACGAAACATGCAAAAATATATATTTTTTGGTCACGGCATTTTTGTAATAGGATGTTAAGTGCAAAAAGTGCCTCCCTGGTTGGGTATCTTTAAGATTTTCTTCGCATTTGAGTCTAATTATGTTGTGAAGTGTTCTGAGGAAAATTTTAAAAGTGTGGATCATGAGGCTAATTAATTAATATTCTGAGCATTTTCTCGCATTGTGTTTTTTAGGTATTGCGATAAAGATGGATTTGAGCCAATCTGCGGAAATCACTCCGGTGTTATATATTAAATTAAAAAGTCTTACTACTACTTTTATGTTATCATTCTTTATTAGTTTCAGCAACTCAGTTGGTGTATCATCTGGACCACAAGCTTTTCCAATTTTAGCATTATTTATAGCATGTTCTACTTCGTATTTCATAATTTCTGGGCCGTCAGTACAGGTTTGGTAGAATTCGGCAATATTATTCCTGTCATCTTCAAACAACTCTGATATATACAGTTGTCATTCTTTTCTTATTTTGTGATCATTAACAATGATTTTGTTACTAGTGTCAACAAGTATAGAGGGAACTCGTTTTTTAAATATATTACTCATTTCTTTCAGTTTTTTGTGCACATTAAATAAGTCGTGTTTATATATTACATCCTCCATTTCGTCGCACCTTTCTACTTGATGATATTTTAGGCAAAAATGCCAAAAATAAGTTTTTATGATTTTTTGATTTTGTTGTCGTAATTTTAGTCTCTCTAAATATTTATTTTTAAAAATTTTACTGTATAATCTTTTAGGGATTTCGATAAAATTGAAAACCTCCCAAAATGTTTAAACATATTTCAAGAGGCATGGTAAATTTTTAAACATTTTATTGCGGTATTCCATTAATTTTATATTAGCTCACAAAATTTTCGGTCACAATGTTTTTTATTTGAATTATCAAATTGAAATATGCAACAGGAAAAAATTATGTGACTTTTGAGATCGGCTTGCTGCACACGTGGCGTGCACACACTTTTTAGCGTGTGGCACATCATAACTCAATGCTCCATAGACGAATATTATGCTATTTTTAAAACTTGTTATACTATAAAACTATATATATATATATATATATATATATATATATATATATGAGTGATGGGTTTTCAGCCAAAAGGTGGAGAGAAAAGACAAAGCAGGTGTACTTGATCTATTTGTTCGAAGTCGTTTCGCTCTCTAATTAGAAAGCATCATCAGTTCATCGAAAAAGAATATTATGAAAAACCAATCATCCATAGAGAGGTTAATACAAACGTGTTACCTCAAAAAGACATGTAGCAGTTAAAGGTATAAAATGTAAAGACGCTTGAGACATTTAATAGTTAAGTTGTAAAAACAATCAATTGAAACTTTACACAGTTTACAATTTAACACAAACTTAGAACAGCAAAAGAAACATGTGGTTATTATACATGTAATTTAAAAAAACTATGTAAAAAACTTATGTAAAAAATATTTATTTGCCGAGAAACTAATAAGATCAGAAGATCACCCTTCCAACAGAAGAATATTAATTTTGATTTAAGGTGACATTAATAAAGTGATTGCAAAAGTTTGCTGTAGTAATCTTATAAAAAAAAATTATGAAAGTGACCCCAAAAATCTTCTACACTTCTCGGAGACACCCGGTAAATTGGACCCATTTAAAACCGATGAACCATCACGTGAAGAAACAGTGTCCTTGAAGTCCAAATATGACAACAATAAGGCAAGTTACCAACCCTTAATGCATTGAAGCGGTAAATTTAAAGATATGATATAGTAAGGAGAAATCGTTGTCTGTATGAACCGTTATATAAGCATCCAATAGGTTTCCAATAGGGTTCTCAACTACGACTCCTGTTATCCTTTTAAATATAAATCAAACGTTAATCGAAGGAATCCCTTTTACTGCTCAGAAACATATTGACTGAGAATTCCTACCCATCTTCCCTTATTAACAAATACCTATATTCGCAGAGCTGTGGTTCCTCATTAAATGACATACCCAATGGTAACCAACTCAGAGTAATACCAAGCAATACTATTAATAACACTGATCTGCCTACTACTGTACTTGGGAATTCAACTACCCATTACTCCTCGTTATCCTATTTCCCTCAAGTTACTGAAAAACTTGTTAAACTGTACAAACATAAGAAAGTGCCTGTTAAAATTGCACTTAAGAATGCCAAGTCAGTCAGAAATTTGTTTTTTAAAGTTATGTTAAAGTTATTATGTTTTTTTTAACCAAAACGTGTCTCTGTTGGAACAAGTTAATGTCATCTATCACATACATTGTGCTGGGTGTACTGCTGAACAAAGACCTCCTCGAAAAACCTCCATTCAGATCTATCTAGCTCTGCTGCAGTCTAGTTAGTACAAATCCTCTTTATGTCGTTAATCCATCTTGTGGGTGGTCTTCACGGGTTTAGTCTATCCGCTCTCGGTCTCCAATCCAATATTTTTTTGGTCCACCTATTATTCTTCATTCATCTTCGTCTTACATTACACCAATTTTGTTACATATTTCTTCGTTTCTTACCCTATCTCGCAACGTTACGCCTAACAATGATCTTTCCATTCTACGGTGCGTCACTTGTAGTTTTCGTGTAGATGTCCTTGTTAGGGTAAGTGTCTCTGCGCCATATGTAAGGACAGGCAGGACACACTGATTAAATGCTCTTCTTCTTAAACTGATAGGTATATCACCTTTAAAAATATCAAGCAGTCTTCCATATGCTACCCATCTTAGTGTTATTCTTCTTAGCAGCTCAGCAGTTTGATTATCTCTGGTAATTTTTACCGTATGTCCAAGGTATAGGTAGCTGTCAACAATTTCAATTTCGACGTCTGCTACCCTTAAAAGATGGCTTGGAATTATATTATTAATATTAAATAAATCACAATTGAAAATACATTATATTTGACATTTTGATTTTTATCCCGGAAATAGATTTTAAAATACAAATTAAACATTTTTTTTGCTTAGTTTGTATTTTATTAATTTGTATTTTAGGAAAGTTTTCTAAGGTGAAAATTATATTTTTAATTCTAATTGTGATTAAATCCCAATAAATATACTAAATATTAAAATAGATAAAATTCTATTCTATCTATATCTGACGCATTTGCGTATCAGATCATTACATCATTATTACTTTATCTCAAAGGTCAAACACTTCATTCTCCGACAAAACCACGTTGCAATCATAACAACTACATTAATATAAAAGATTAATCGCAAACATCAGTTTAAAATTTGTTAAACATAAATAAATTGTTATTTTAAAATGGTTAAAGGTAAGCGATTCGTTTTGCAGAAGATCTTCGAAGGATTTCCAAAGGAAAGTGACTTAAAAGTTGAGGAATATGAGTTACCACCAGTTAAGAATGGAGGTAAGACGAAATATTATTAATTATATATTATATTTAAATCTAATTAAATACTTAAATATACTTAAATTTAACTTTTGCTCACGTATTTGACATTATTTAATTTTGGCCTTTAAATTTTAAAAGTTACGTCCACATACATTATAATAATATGCTAATCAGCGATAGTTATTTAAAAAAAGTGATTAATATTAGTAGTCCAGGATGTATTTGTTCTTAAACACATTCACTTGTGAATCGTATATAACCCTAGTTTTTTGTTTTAATCACTTTGAAATATTATTAGAAATGATAATTTAACTATGCGTAAACTTCAAAAGCTGGGCTAAATTTTTTATTAAACAATTTGTGAAAAAAATGAGAAAAAGTCCATTTGTTTCTCCTTTTCGTTGCTGTATCTCGGCATCTATCAATTAAAAAAAAAAGTGAAACAACTAAAAAGTTTTATAATTAAATTTCCTATAAGAAAAAAATTATTGTAAATTAAAAAAATAATTGTTATTATATCAAGATTAGCAAAAACCATTAAAAAGTGTCAAGAATGTTTTTTCAATAATTTTATTCAGGTATACAGATTGAACGAAATAAATTCGGAACATAGGAATATAATGTATTTCGGCTCAATTCTGCTGTAAGTGGTTGGCCAACAAAAGATTGTCAAATAATTACGTTATAAAAATCCCATACTTAAGCGGGCTGCTGGATTCTGAACTGATAAAAATTGAAAGCTACACATAAATCTACGATTTATGCTGTCAAACCAGTTATAGTCCAGGAAATGAAGTATTTCACCTCGCAATTTTTTCGTGCCTCGTGGATTAACTTGAAATTTAACAGAAGGTAGGTAATAGCCTAAGGATCAAAATCTATATCGAACCAAAGTGCGCCAAAGCCTAGGGGGTGGTTGCCACCCCATCTCTGGGGTGAAATTTTTTTTTACGTTTTAACTACAGGTTTCGATTAAAAAAGTGATTCTAAACAAAAAATGTGCTATACATTTTTTTTTATAAAATGATATTTTTCAAGTTATTCGCGATTGAAAGTAACAACTTCTAGACGAAACAATCCACGTTTTCAATCGATTTTTCGCGAATAACTCGAAAATGGTGCATTTTATCAAAAAAATTGTAGAGAACAAATTTGTAGCTTTTAAAAAGACAAATACAATTCATTTTTTAAAATGTTTTTGCGATATAATAGGAACCAAAATACGGCCTATCAATGTTCAGCGGTTTTCTTCAAATGCCAAATTTGAAAGATTCAAAGTCAAATAAGTATCGGGAAAATGATGCATTTTTGGAAGAAAACTCACAAAATCTTTTTTAAAGAGCATAAATAGACATATCATAAAAAAGACACTAGCTCAAAAATTGAGTGAGTTATGATGAAAATAAGGTCAATACCTCATTTTTTACGAAAAAACCGATGAAAACAAACCCCTAACCACCACTATAATTAAAATCGATCTTTACCCTTCTGTAATTCCCTTTGTACATGTATTGTTAATACGTCCAAGAAGTTTGACCCATTTAAAATGCTTTGTGTTAGAAAAAGTACAGCTTAAAGCGAGAAACGATTTACAATTTCATATTTTTTACCCTTCTTTTTTTAAATATGCCCGAAAATACTGAATATCTGAAAAAAATAGAAATTACCAAATTGTAGCTTTTTTAATGACTAAAATTATCCTTTATTTAGATTTGTTGTACAATGAATATTTGGCGAGATATAGCCGTTTAAAGCATCGATTTACGATCAAGCACCATCTTTTTCGAGCCCTTTAAACTCACCCCATTTAAAAACCAAGGGTTCCAAAAAGATTTAATTCACAGATCCTTGTAGCTCTTAAAAACCTCAACAAATCGTTTTTAAAGAAACACTCTATCGTTAAAAATTAAAGGAAACACGTTAAAAAAACACAGTGAATTTTTTTCCGGAAAATTCCATTAGTATAGTACAGTACATTTCGGAGCATAATAATCTACAAAACCGGTATATTAGCTAGTGGGGCGTTATACATTCGAAATTTTAAGCGTTCTAATTTTGAAATCCCATACAACAGAATAAAACATCTGCTCATATGTCTATGGCTTGGCAATGAAAATATCAGAGCAACAGATTGGGGATGGTATTCCAAAGATGGTTTGTTATTACCCGTACGCATGAACAAACAACCTGCACTCGATGAACTTTTGAAAATTATTTTTTGCCAATGCAAAAAAGGATGCGGTGTTTTATGTGGGTGCAGAAAAGTTGGTTTATACTGTAACTCTACTTGTTCTGGGTGCTCAGGTGAAGGGTGCAATAATAGTTCACCAATAATTGAAGATGAGGATGACATAGATCACGATGAAGATGTAATTGATGACGAATAAGATTAATATTATAATTGTTTTACCTATAAATGTAAATATTTTCAACTATTTATGTAAATGTATAAGAATATATGGTGCCTTTTTATGTTGATAAAAATTTTTTTGTATTTAATTCTACTTTTTTCAATTTATATCTTATAAATTAGTTTATAAAAACTGCAATGTTGTAAAGGGTGATTTTCAAAAGTTGAAAAGTTGCAAAATTTTGGCAAAAAATTGTTTTCACCGATAGCACTCATAACAATTGATTTTTAAGGGTTGAAAATGTATGAATGTGTATTTTAAAGTATATAAAAATCACTATTTAACTAATCCTAACCAAATTTCACTCATCTTAAGATTTATAATATTATTTTACAATTTTTGAAAATTAGGGGTAGTTTTCACCCCTAAGAACAATCAGGGTTCATCGGCATGACATAAACTATAAAGCAGAGGGTGAGTTGAGCTTAATTCCAAATTTTTATGCAAATCGTTCCAAGGTAAAATCATTTTCTTCGCATTACTAATTTTTTTATATTAATCTCTAATAAGGGTCGCTTTTTAAGGGCTGAAATATGATGGAACTTTATTCAAAAGCACGAAACTATCATTATTTAATTAATTCAAACCAAATTTTACCCATATTCAGGTTTAATATGTTATTTTATCATTTTTGACAATTAGGGGTAGTTTTCACCCCTAAGAACAATCAGGGTTCGTCGACATGACATAAACTATAAAGCAGCGGGTGAATTGAGCTTAAATCCAAATTTTTATCCAAATCGATCCAAGGCGAAATCATTTTTTTAGAATTAGTAATTTTTTTACATTAATCTCTAACAAGGGTTGCTTTTTAAGGGTTGAAATATGATGGAACTCTATTCAAAAGTATAAAATAATTATTATGTAACTAATTCAAAATAAATCTTACCCATATTCTGGTTTAATATATTATTTTATAATTTTTTACAATTAGGGGTAGTTTTCACCCCTAAAACCCTTCTGCGCACTTCGGTTCGATATAGATTTTGATCCTTGGGCTATCATCTACCTTCTGTTAAAATTTCAACTGGATATATGCAGGACGAAAAAATTGCGAGGTTTTAACTTTTTTCGAGCTTAATTTCCTGAACTATTATCGTTTCCTTAGACAAACCCGTCTTACGCAAACAACATTGTTGTGAGACAGATAGTTGAACGATATTTTATACAATGTCTATACCCAGGTATGGCTTTATTTTTGTCCAAGTTTTATATTGGTCCACTATTTCAAATGCAGTTCAAACAGACATGTATTAAATTGTATGTTCCGTTTTAATTTGGTTCAATCTGTATAAGAGCCACAAAGAAGTTTTAAACTTTACTCAGAGAATTCTTAAAATATAAAAAACTGTATTAAATTTTAATACATTTGATTAAGTAGTCTTTCCAAAATAACTTTGCAAACAAAATTTTTGAAAAAAAGTTTTTTTACGAATAAAATGGTACTTAGGCTATCAAATAATAGTCGAATTATTGAAATCGTTTGAATAAGAGAATCTAGGAATTTCTTTAAACAACTGTACAATTTTGAAGCTAATAAACAAATACTACTTCTCTTCTTAGGGTGCCTATCCTGGTTTACGAACGTTGAGAATCATTCTGGCTATGATGACTTTGTTGTTTACTAAACGGAATAGCTGTGTTGAGGTATTTCTATACCATGCTCTCAGGTTAGCAAGCTAGGATATTCTTCTTCATCCTGGAGTCCTTTTTGCTTTAATTTTATCTTGCAACATACATTATAGTAGTTCATATCTGTCTTGACTTCTGATTATATGTCCCAAATTCTGCAGCCTACGTATTACTTCCTCATTGGTGACTGTGTCTGTCTATAGGATCCTGTCTCAAAATAGTGAAGTTTTAATAGAGTTTTCACCTTCAATGTCCACGTTTCTATTTTGTAAAGAAGCTCTGAATACACGTAACATTTAAGGAGCCTTATTTTTGTTTCTAGGGTGAGGTCATGGCTTTTGAATACGGAGCTTATCATAAGCTTATATCAAAATATAGTCAAAATGCATTTTTTGTCTTTTCGATGCTATATTTATATTTTGATTTATATTTCGATGCTCTCTTGAGTATTGTCCTACAAGTCATTGATTATAGCTCCCAAGTAGTTGTACTATGAGACACGTTTAATTCTTATTTGGTTCACATACAGATTTGCTCCAGTTATGTTTTCCTTGCTGATGATTAGTAGCTTGGTTTTGCTGGTGTTTATTTCTAGTCTATATGTTCTACTCTTTTCCGTTATTTTGTTCATTATGTTTTGCAGCCCTTCTATGGTTTGGGAAAACACTATTATATCATCCGCATACCGCAGGTTACTGAGCTTGACTCCATTTATTGAGATGCTTTTATCAATATATTTTAGAGCTTCTTCAAAAATGTGCTCCGAGTACAGATTGAATATCAGTGGTGAAATTATGCACACCTGTCTTACTCTCCTTAAGATTTTGATCTGATCTATATATTTTCCATCTATTCGGAGCACTGCTGGTTGGCTCCAATACAGGTTAGCTATTATTCTTAGGTTTCTTCCGTCAATCACTGTCCTCTTCAGCACTTCCATCATTTGTTCATGACTGAGTCTATAGAAAGCCT